GCAGCCCATTGCTGCCAGGCCCCGGGGCACCCGTGGCCTGGGGTAGAGGGGAGGGTCTGTTTGGGGACCTTGGCTGTCTGAGCCTGGAACTGGGCCTTGTTTCTGAGACCCTGGGGTCACCTTCAGTCTCCTGGGGACTGGGAAGGTGAAATGGCTCTTCTGCCATTTGTGCCTTTGTCCCTGTGCCTTGTTTGTGACCCAGAGAGCATGTCCTTGTGGATCACAGGCCTGAGACGGGTAGAACCAGGCAAGCCGCAGAGAGCAGGGCGGGAGAGAGGGAGGGGACCTGGTCACCCCACGTACCCCTCCGGCTGGCCTTTCAGCTCCCTGCCTCTCCCCTCCCCCTGGTGGTCTGGGGAGCCTGGAACCAGGCACAGGGTTCAAGCCGTCTCATCTAGTGCTGTGGCTTCTGGCCGTGCCTTTCCCGAGTCAGGCTGCCTCGTCCCTGTCTGGTTAGTTAGGTTTCGACTTGAAACCCAGGCCCTTCAGATGCTGCACAAGAGACCTGCTAGCCGTGTGGCCCCTCTGCTGCGGAGGTGGTGGCGGGAGCTACTCCCCCACTGCTGGGCACTTCGGAGCGAATGGCCACCCCTCCCAGCCCGCCCGCCTTTATTACTGTGTTAATTTGGAAAACAGGTCATTGGAAATTAAATTGCTCAAAATAGGCCACCAATTATAACTCTGCGTCCTGTTGAAATGGGAGCGTCTGCGATCTCTATCGGTTTATTGTAACTGAAGGCAAAATGCTCACAACTGAATTATTGCCGGTCTGTGTTTCCTCTCTCCCTGGGACGGAGACCCTGCCCTCTTGGTATCTTGGCGTGGAAACTGATGACGGCTTGGTGCTTGAGCCCTGCAGGACAGGTGTGGCTGAGAGGGGCCTGTGGGTCCCAGCTGGGACATGCCTGCCCTGGGACCGAGCTAGGACTCATCTTTTTATTTGTCATTCATTTTAGCTTTTGTGGTGCTGGGCCTCAGAGCCAGGACCTTGGAGTGCTGGGCATGCTCTATGCTGAGTGGCCCCCAGTCCCCCACCTCCATTTAGAGCCCATGGGGAAAGGGCCTTGAGCCAGGTGGCTGGGTTCCAATCCAAGCTCCTGCAGACTGCTGTGTGACCCTGGGTGAGCTCCTTGGCCTCTCTGGGCCCCAGTCTCAGCTGTGTGCTTCCTGCAGAGTGGTGGTGTTTTCCTGGAGGTGCACAATGCGCAGACCTGCGGCACTCGCTGTGAGTGGACCACCTGGTGTTCCAGAGGTCCTCCAGGAGGAACTGCCCTGGGGAGCCCCCGCTGAAGACCTCCCTGCCCTGGTCTCCTCTGCTGCCTGCCTTAGTTCCTCACTGCTGGGCGGGAGGCTCTGAGGCCAACACCTGGCAGCTTGCCATGCCCACTGCGGAGCTGGGTGTCGGGGGGCCTTTGGCACAAGGTCCCTGCAGCTGTCTGACTGACCCCACCACTTTGCTAGGGTTGCTGCACCTCACCTTGACCACGAGGACACTCCCGACGGGCCCTCTGCTGGCGGGGTCCCTGTTTTTACTGCGATTCACCTGCCCTGCTGCGGTCCCAGTTAAAAGCATTCTACACCTGACTGTGCCCCTCCGCGTGCCCCGAGGTGGGTGGCTGGAGGCCTGGGCTGGCTGCAGGGTGGTATGCTCAGTGCACCCAGCTCCCTGGACTCGTGCTGGGTGCAGACATGCAGGACGCTCCTCAGGGCATGCTCCGGCCACCAGGGCCAGCACCCAGCTCTTCTCCCGGGGTTTCCTGCTGGGTTTCCCGTGTCCAGTGAATGTGTTGGCGGTGGGCCTGCCTTCGGAGGTCTTCCCAGGCAGCCCCTGGGCCTCTGAGCGGGCGAAAGTGGCTCTTCTTCACTGGCCTCTCCTTGCACCCCATCGGGGCCGGGTCTGAGGTGGTTCAGGCAGAGCCCCGGTGGGCCCAGGAGCCACAGACCCCGGGTGCTGTGGTGGCCTCTGTCCCTGGAGGACCTGCCTGGAGCCTGCACATGCAGATCTCGGGCGCCTCCCAGCCGGCCAGGGGCTGTGCTGCGGTCACACACACCCAGGTGGCCACACAGCATGTGTCCTGCTGGCCTCCCTGTCCACGCTGCTGGACTTAGAGTGGCCTTGACCCCTGCCCCAAGGAGGTGATCAGAGCCCTCAGCCAATGGCTGAAGCTCTGTCCCCATCCTGAGTCTCATCTGGGCCTGGGCAGGGCCAACTGTCTTGAGTGCCTTTCTGCAGGGCAGGACCCCTAGCCTGGGGGTGGACACCAAGGTCCCGACAGGTGGGAGAGACTTTGAGAACCCTGCTCCTGTTGAGCAGCTGGTGTGGGCAGCCCGAGGGAGTGGTCCTCATGTCTTCAGGGCCATTTTTGAGAAATGTCTCCCAACTCTGAGGTCATGACATCCGGTTGGCCTGCCTCAGCTGGCCTCCCAGCCCCGAGTGATGTCCAGGTGGTGAGTTCTGGGCAGAGCGGTGCTGGACATCTCCATGTGCACCGAGCTGCGGCCCAGGACCTGGAAGAGAGCAGGCCAGTGGACCTGGGTGTCCTGGGTCTGCTGAAGGGAGGACCTCAGCTGGGCCCTCCAACCTCAGAAACGGATTCACGGCTCTGGCGGCAGGAGCCTGGGAGTGAGGTGTTGGGGGTCCCTGTCTCTGAAGGTGCCAGGGGGCCCTTCCCATCACTTGCACGTTCTGGTGGCTCTTGGTGTCCTGGGCTGGTGGCTGTATCCCTCCAGCCTCTGCCTGGTTACATGGCCACCTCTTGTGAGTCTCAAGTCTCCCTCTCCTTAGAGGGACACCAGTCGTTGATTTGGGGCCTGTGCTAATCCAGAGGGACTGTGTCCTAACATGTGCTAAGACCCTGCTTCCAATCAGTGTCCCTTTACAGGGACGGGGTGGGATGGGGCAGGGTCCACCCTCGCAGGCCAAGGAGCCCGCGCCCCTCCTGCTGGTCCATCCTCACACGTCCCTCCCTCTCCAATCCTGAGGGAGTCTCTTTATTTTCACCTTTTTGTTGCAGAATTCAATTTTTTGCTTGGCCCGGTCTGTTCTCTGCATGATGAGGAGGCAAGGTTGAAAAGCCCCTCTGCTCCGGCCAGGGCTCTGGGCCCAGTCCACTCTCTCCTTAGTTGGGCCAGTGGGCAGGTGGGAGTGGACCTGATCACACACTGACCCCAGGACCGGGCTGGATCGGCTGCCGGGTGCCGCAGTCCGCTCTGCCCTGCCTCCACGGAGTCCAGAGCCCCGACGAGAGGCGTGCCCCTGGCTCCCGGGTCGCTGGAGTGCTGCCGGAGGAACAGCGAGACCAAGCCCGCGGCAGTGCTGGGCTCTGCCCGTCAGGTTCCCACGCAGGGCGTCTGCTGCCACCGCGGATGCCCACAGACATGGGAGCTGCCACTTCCACACGGGCTGTGAGTTCCCAGAAAAGCCCAGGGACTAGGTCCACCTTGTGCTCGGGCACAGGCATCAGGCTGGGTCCAAAACCAAGGTGCCTTCAAGAGGGTGGGCATGGGGCCGCACTTGTCAGTGAGGGGACCCAGGGGGCAGAGCAACAGTGCGCCCAGGCCTCGGCACGTGCCATCGCAGTCTTGCCGCAGCTTCCACTTCTGGCCACTCCCACGAAAAGGGACAAGACCCAGAGCGACATCTTACAGGCATCAGCTGCAGACGCAGACCAGAGAGGAGGGAGCTCCGGGAGCTGGGCTCCCTGCTTGGTGGGCCTCCAGGGGCGGACGCCAGGCGGCCGAGTAGCACCTCGAGGGCACGCTGGGCCGAGAAGGCAGGGAGCGGGAAGGGACCCGGGACCTCTCCCAGAGACCGGGGATCCTACTTACCATGACTGTCACGAGGAGAGAGGTGGCAGGCCGCCCCTGCTGAAGGGAAGGGCCCCTGCGAAACCCCGGCACAGAAGGCCCGGTCGCAGCTTCCCAGGAGGCCTGCTGGACACCCTCGCCCCGGACCCAGTAGAGGCAGCCAGGGACACGCACGCACAGCCACGGCCCAGCCCCATGCCAGAGCCGACAGACAGTCGAGGTGGCAGAACGGCAGACCAGGGAGAGAGGTCCTGGCCAAGTCAGCAGGTCAAACCGCAGTGACAGAGGGGACCGCCCCACCCCAGGGAAAGCGTTTTGCCACGCGAAACCCGTGCCGTCACACAGACACACGAGATCACCAGATTCACATCCACTGGGACAAACTCCGCCGCCTGGAAGTCTGCACAGAGACTCTGCTCTCCCCTGGGGCCCTGGAGCAGGCCAGGACACTTCTGGCCCTCCGGGAGGGACTCCCCCACTGGTGAGGGGACGGTCACCATGTCTACCAGCCTGTCCACGCCACCACCAAGTCCAGCACTGGAGAAGTGTGTGCGGAGCCCGGGTCGACGGGGGCGGTGCCCAGGCTGACAGTCACTGCTGAGGTCACACTGGGCCATCAGCACTCAGACGCTCCACAGCAGAGCCGCACGGTGCTCGGCAAGCCACCTGAGCAGGAGTGGGCCACGTTCCTGCAGCGCAGTCGGCAAGAGGACGGACGGGGGGACGCCACCCACGGCCCAGGGCCACTCAGGGGTGTGATCGATTGAAAGAGGCCAATTTCTTATAGGATAGAGCAGGTGCCTCTCCTGTGCTCCCGCTGTCCACTCCAGGCGTTCAGCCCAGAGGGAGGCCCACACGTGTCCACCCCAGGACAGTAGGCTGCACAGCAGGATGCTGGGCAGCAAGAAACAGGGCAGAGCCATGATTCACCCACGTGGGGACCCCTCTGCCCACCACGTGCAGTCACAGAGCAGGCAGAACTCCAGCGAGAGGCCCAGGCTGGAAGCGCTGGCCAGGAGGGCCCAGCTCGGGGGCCATGGAGTGTTGGCCCTGCGTGGGGTCAGGGGTCCCACAGGCGCAGCTTGGAAGGCCATGTGGAACCTGCCCTCCAGGCCGACCCAGCACCCCAGCCAATTACCCGAGGGCCTCCTGGAAGGAGCTGCTGCTCACCAGGGCTCTGCCACGGCAGGGAGTGAGAGCCAGGCCTGCCCACAGTGGCTCCCTGGTCCCCCTCATGCTGGCCATGCTGGTGGGTGTGATGGCACCACACGGTCCCAATTTGCATTTCCCTGGCTCTGCGGGCACGTGCGGGCTGACAGAGGGCACCAGGCGGGGCCCCTGCCGTCTCCGAGGCCTCAGACAGACCTGCCTGCAGCAGGACCCAGGGTGCGGTCCCGAGGCCTCGCAAGCTGGCTGTGTGTGGGTCACGCTGCAGTTGCCCGCAGAGCCCGAGAGTCTGCTGGAACCAGCAGCGGGGCCCTGCAGCACCTGTCACCACCGCAGTCAGTGCCAGGGTGGCCTTGGCAGGTGTTCCTGTGCAGCGATGGAACCCAGCGTGCTCCGTGGGTGGCACCGCTTCCAGGGTGCCTGTCGTGCAACGCGGTGGCCCTGGGGAGAGGAGTGCTTGCACTCGCACCCGAGGTTGAGAGTGTCCTCAGCCCGCAGTCTTGCCGGACACTGGGAGGTGCTCCACACGCACGTCCACCTCCCTGGGTGCACAGCTGCCGGGCCCACGCTGGGTGTGTTGGGGGTAGGCAGTGGTGTGCTGTGGATGACCGCTTGAGGAGCACTGGCCTGCCCAAATCCAGCACTTTTCACCTCCCTTTCTCCACAAGGTCATTGGGAGTGGTTCTGTCTTGCTGTGCAACAGGTTTAAAAATTGTGAGATAAGCCAGGTGCCCTGGCCACGCCTGTGATCCCAGTGGCTCCGGAGGCTGAGGCAGGAGGATCACAAGTTTGAGGCCAGCCTTATTGACTTAGTGATGCCCCATCTCAAAATATAAAATAAAAAAGGCGGGGGAAGTGGCTCAGCAGTTAAGTGCCCTGGGTTCAATCCCCAGCACCAAAAATAAAAAATAAATACAAAAATCTAAAAATCATGGGAGACACAGTGATCTGGAGAGACAGCTACGAGGGCCGCCTGCCTGGACCGCGGGCAGTGGAGGTGCTCTCACGACACCTGAATGGCTCAGCGTCCAACTCTGTGGACAGATACAAGCCACATCTGCTGCTGTTCTGTAGAGCACTTTTATTTTCCAACACGGAGGATCCCACAGGAGGCTGCAGAGTGGGCAGCCACTCGTCCCATGTCTTCTACCAGCCCTTCTCTCTCGGTCTCTCCTGGACACCTCCTGTCCACACCCCGGCAGCAGGGCTGGCCTGTGGCGAAGTCAGGAGGGGGGACGGGGCAGGAGAGGCATCCGTGCCCTTGAAGTAGGGTGTGAAGCTCTCTGGGAGCGAGTGCTGTCCCCAGCCGCTCTCCCGTGACGCTCGCCGAGCCTCTGGGCGCTGAGGAGTGGTGGCTTCCTCACTGCGGATCAGTTATCTGTCCACAGAACCAGACCTGCCCCAGGACTTAGCAGCCCCCACCAGCACACGTTCATCTCCTCACAGTGGGGAACAGGGAGGGCCCCACGGGGCGGCTGAGGCTCGGGGTGGTCCAGAGGCTGCACAGGGATGAGGGTCCTTCGGATGGCAGGTGCCACGGCTGGCAGGACCTGTGAGCGTCCTCACAGCGTGAGCGTGGAGGATGCCCGCGCTCCTCCGTCCCTGCACTCGTCAGCACTCGCCAGGCAGGAGTGTGGGCCGTGTTGGGAACCACCCTCGTGTGCAGATGGCACTGTGCCGCAGGCTGCACTCCGGTGACCACCCGTCCTCAGCCGGCAGGGGAAGCCTGGGAGCACTGGGTCCTGAGTCCTGCCGAGTGGCTGCGGCTGGCGATGGTGGCCACTTCCTCACTCCAGGGCTGAGACCCTGGGTGGGTGCTCGTGCTGTGCCTCTGACCGGGGCGCACTGCCTGGGTGTCTGCTGGAATCACCTGAGGAGTTCTCAAAGCTGCCTCCCGGCCCCCGACCAGGGAACTCCATCTAGAAGGCAGGGCTCCCGGGTCTGCAGCGTGATGCTGCCCGCGGAGGTGCCCAGAGCCCACCGGCTCTCAAGGCTACACCAGCACCCACGTCAAGAAAGGAGATGTTTTCGTCTTGGCCTTGTGACTTTAAAAAGTTAATTAAATCAGGGAATTTTTATTCTAGTCTTTATTAATTTTAATCAGAGTCAGGTTTATGCTATTTATCTCTTGAGTCCTACTGAGCTTTTTAAAAATGGCCTAGCAGATGGTCACTTCTGGGGGACCTTCTACGGTCTACATGTCTGTGTCCCCTCCCAGGTCCATATGCTGAGACCCTCCTCCTAAGGTGATGGTTTTGGGACGTGAGTAGATCCTGATGGTGGAGCCTCATGGAGGCTCCTGGCCCTTCCACCAGGTGAGCCGCAGTGAGAGAGCCCGCTCCTCCAGGCAGCAGGACCTCACCAGGCCCCACACCTGCCAGCGCCTGGATCTGGACCCCACGGGCTCCCAAACCTGGGGCAATAAATAAATTCCTGTTGTTTTCACACCCCCTGCCCAGCTCTGGGAGTCCTGCTGGGGTGGCCAGGATGGCTAAGACTGGCCCTTGGCCCCCCGGGTGCAGGTTTTACCCTGGGGCACGTCTGTGAGGCCTCTCAGGGTCTTTGCTTTTTCCTCCTTCAGCCCTCGTGCCACTCCCACGGGCACACGTCCAATCCCCAGACAGGTCCTGGGGAATTAGCCGCCTGCTGCCCAGGGCTGGCAGCCCTGGCCACCCAGTCCCAGGTCCAGCTTCAGGCCACCTCGAGGAGGCCCCTTCCTCCTGGGAAAGCTGCTGACAGGCCACTCCCTGGCCATCCCAAGCCCGCGGCTCCAGGTCAGCTCACCTGACCCTGGTCGCTGATCATGGACGCAGAGAGGGGTTTTCCAAAAGATTTATTGAGCCACATTTTAATTCACTTCTCTTAAGTTGATTAAAGTGTGCCTTTTGATTCATGCTTTTAAAGAGTCCTGACTCTGCTTCTTATCAGCCGAGCAGCCTCAGTGCTCATTAGTGAACACTCTGCAGTTGGGGCCTCAGGCCCTGCAAGGTGGAAGGGCTCCTGGCCCTGGTGGGCTTCCTGGGACCCTAAGGACCTGTGTGGTCCCCTCCTCACCTGCACCCTGGTAGAAACAGACCCCATCTCTGCCTTGTCCCCCATGGGTGAGCCTAGGGTACCTGTCCAGCCCAGAGCAAGTGCTGCAAGTCTTGAGATGGCCTCCTCCCTGGTACCCTCCCAGGGGGGCCCTGAGGACTGGGGGCAGAACCCCTCCCTGCTGGGAGGAGTCAGGCTCTGGGGTCCTCTGTGGCATTGTCAAGTGTCACGAAATGGCACGTGCCAGAAACAAAGAGGCCAGGGCACTGTGGCTGCCTCATGCTGTGAGTGACCGCCCACCTGGCCACGAGGCAGCGCAAACAGTGAGAACTTGGGGGCTGTTCTGACACACGCCCGCCCCCATGTCTCCTGCCCTCACGTGTGTGACTGCCACACATTGTGACATTTATAAGGAGCTGTGGATTCGTGCCGCACCCAGGAACACACTTGCCAACTCAGTGGGAAGGAGCCAAGGGATAAACCTGCTGGTCAGCAGCCAAGCCTCTGGGCTGGCAAGGAGGCCGCCTTCCTGCGTGGCCAGGGCTCTCCAAGGCCCCTCCTCCGTTGAGCCCAGGCTGTGCTGGTGCAGTGCAGGCTTTACTCAGGGTGGACAGTCACCACATTATCCCACAAGCAACTGGGTCCTGAGCTGGTGAGGTGCTCACGGCTAAGGTTGCCCGGCTGGACTCCCTCGAGGCTGAAGTCTCAGGTGCTGCTATGGGCAGCCCAGCAGTGCAGGCAGCGGAGACTCTGCCCTGGCTAGCTTGCCCCTAGCCTGGCCTGCAGGCTGCTCCCCCAGGCACATACCACCCTGAACTGGCCCCTTGCCACATCCTCCAAGTGGAACTATCAGTGGCCTCCTGTTCAGTTATGTGCAGGACTCAGTGTGCACATGTGTAAGCCTGTGTGTATGCGTGTCAATGTGCATGCCTGTGAGCGTGTGTGTGTGTACGGGTGTCAGTGTGCATGCACACAGCAGTGTGGTTGTTGGAGGCAGGCACCTGTGTGCACAATTCCTGCAGGGCCTCTGTTTTGGTTGCCACCTCACTTTAGGCCTGTGGGGCTGCCCTAGCATGAGAGACGCAGGGGCGGAGGCCGCAGCTGGCAAGGCCGCACACTCCCCGGGTCTTCCCAGGGAAGGGGACCTGCATGGCTGACACATCCAGTGAGCCTCCGCCCCCCCGGAGGAAGAACAGACAGCCCCTACACCTGGCCCAGGAAGCCCAGGCCTGCGCTGGGAGGGAAAGACGTTGGTCACCACGGTCACGAGGCAGGGCCACAAACAGTCCATCTTCTACAGAGAGCAGAAGGAAGCACTGCTTGATTTCCTTTTTAATAGTCAGACTTTAACAACCTGGCACCCCTCACCACGGGCACCCCTCACCGTGCACTGAGTCTGCCAGATAGGCCCTGGGCTGCCAGGCTGGCCCCTCTCCATACCCCGTATCCCCAGCCTGGGCGCCTCTCTGGGGCTGGAAGGAGGGTCTGTAGACCAGCCATGCCCCCCAGGTGATGGGCCTGCAGGCAGAGGGACCCTCCCTTTCTGCTTTATTTCTACGGGAGACAGCCTTTCCACCATGCCAGCCTGACTTCTTGCCACCAGGAAACACCTTTTCGGAAGGAAGCAATGCTGGGCCCAGGAAGGAAGGAGCCATAAGGACTTCCTTTGTCCCCAAGCTGCACCCATGGGCCTCAGAAAGGTGGCTGTGGCCTGGGCTGCCCACAGCCTGTGGTCCTAGGGTGGGTGTAGGGCATAGCAACCCAAAACACCCTAAAATGGATGTGGGTCCAGGAGCCCACACAGCCCACTAGCCAGCTCGCCCAGGAAGCTCTGGGCCAAGACATGCCTGTCCCGGATGAGCACCTCATTTGTCACTACCTTAGCTGGCTAGTGTCAGCAGATGATGCAGTTGGAATTTCAGCCAAGGCGTGTATTTTGCATGTCATGAAACAACCCCTGGGTTTGTTTTTCCCAAAATAGAGGTGGAGACACTGAAGATATGGAGACCCTAGATCAGGGCTGTGGCCCCGCGTTGCTGCCAGGTCTGAGGGTTGGAGACTTGCAACTCGCTCCCCTCTGGACGGGGGTCAGGTTGGAACTCCCCTGAGCCCTGTGTCTCCAGCCACAGGGTATCGCGGGGACCTGCTCTTCCCAGGAGGTGGGTGATGTCCTGCCTCTCTCTGGGAGGGCTGTGGGAGTCCTCACTTTGCATCTGAATGAGTTTCCATTGATCCACCTGCACATACACAGACCCCTTTCTGCACTGCACAGGGCGTAATTTAAGCATACTTCAGAAGTAAAGGGGACGGACGTTATTGTTCTTCTCAATCTACAGATGTTTGTTCTGCCCCCCCATTTCCACTTCTGTCTAGTCAGTGACGACATAAATAGAACGTGTCTCCTCGCTTCTCAGAAAGGCTTTGTTTCGGGGACAGCAGCCTATTTTGATGTCACACAGTGGGACAATGATGACCGCCCCCCCACACCCAAGACAATGAAAGAAACCACTTTGTTTTGAGGCAGGCAGGCAGATGAGGGGGGCCGGATGGAGGAGGGAATCAGGGTCTGGAGGAGGGCGGGAGGGCTGGGTGGGCAGCCAGCCTGCTGACCCGCCGGGTGGGTGGTACCAGGAGGGGTGGGCCTGAGGAAGCTTTGCTTAGAAGATGAGAACAGGTGGGAGCCTCCGCGCCCTCCCTCTGGGCCAGGTGTGGGGTGGGGCTCCCGACTCCACAGCTCAGACCACAGGAGCCTGCCCCACGGGGGTGGGTCGGCAGGGCATCGGCCAGGTGTGGTCCCCACAGGGCCACCTGGGTTCCAGAGAGGCACCAGTCCTTTGGGAAGACCCTGGGGGACTTGCTCTACCAGTGGCTCCCTGGGGCAAAGGCTTGTTGGTGCCTGGGGGGGAGATGGGATAAAAAACTGCTGCTCAGGGCGCTCAGAAGACCTGGGGCGAGGCCTGAAGGGGCCAGAACCTCCCTCCTGTAGAAGGGGGCCACCGGGAGGCCGGGAGGGGGTGAAGCAGGCAGAGGGTGGGAGAGGAGGGAGCCATGTCGCCTGGGCTCCCCACGGAGACGGTGCCCGAAAGCAACAGGTTGTTTTTTGTTCTGTTTTGTTTTTACACTCCAACAACATGAAGAGGGAAATAGGTGATAGGAACGCTGCCGGCCGAAGAATCATGTCAGAATGGGAACCACCGCAGTCAGCACTGGCGAAGGCGGCCGGGAATCCCGCAGACCCGCTCGGGAGAGGGTGCGCATGCGCGATGGAAGCACCAGCAGGTCAAGGTGACACAGTGACACAGTGAGGTCCCAAAGGGGACAGTGCACGCGCCCGAGAGAAGCTGCAAGCCGGTTTCACGTCGGGCACAACAGTCGCCCGATGCCCCGACGCCCCGACAGTGGGCGCCAGGCGGGAAGAAGCTGCAGCCTGGAGGCCAGCGGGAAGCAAGCCCAGGACTCTGGAGCGGAGCAGGAGGCTAGGGCAGCCAGGCTCGCGTCACGTGTGCCTGTGCCAAGAAGTGACCGCGGGACTGGAGCTGCAGAGAGAGGGCCACCGGGGAGGGCCAGGAAAGTCTGGTGCCCACATGGAAGGGGAGCTGGACCTACCTCACACATGGTGCCCTCTGGGCAGAGGCTTCCCATCAAGTGTCCAGACAGGAACTGGAATGACCCCAGGAGAGGCCACACAGGGCCCAAAGCACCAAGAATGTAGAAGAGAGGACGTGGGCCAAGGCCATGCAGTGCCCTTTTCATCAGAAGATGTGGCAGAGAGCAGAGGCTCGGGGACCGCCCAGCCCCGACATCACAGAGTGCCCAGATCTAGAGCCCAAAACCACCATCGCATCAGGGAAGATCTGCTCCCCAGAGGGCACAGCAGGTCCTCCACAGGAGGAGGAGGCCCTGCGGGTGTTCTGCCCACTGCCCTTGTCCATCAAACGCCAATCTGAGATGTCCGACAGCACTGCACAGTGGGCAGGGCTGCAGGCGGGAGTTCAAATGGGCACACGTGTGGGAAAGGTCGGCACACCTCGCCAAGGAGCAGGCGCTGGAGGAGAAACCCAGAGTGTACCTCCTGCATCCTAGGTGGAGCGGCCACACAGGGGCCTGCACACTGCAGGAATAAGACAATGGCCACCTCCATGTCCAGGGGAGAAGCCAGGCACAGGACAGGAGTGGTTCCACTTCCAGAGTCCGACGCCTCGGGGCGTGAACCCAGGGGCAGCAGGATGCGAAGAGACACCACACAGGGTTCACAGCAGCGCAGTCCCCAACTGCCCAACATGGAAGCAACTCGAGTGTCCCCGGCCAGAGGAGTGGCCGAGGGAAACGCAGCTCTCAGTGTTGGAGAGGAAGCTGGTTCCTGCCCTGCAGCAGCGCGGATAAGCCTCAAGGACACTGTGCTGGATGTGACGAGCCAGAAGGAACAGGTCCCTTCTGAGTCCACTGGCAGGGGGTCCCTAGAGAAGAGTCAGGTCCCTGGGGACCAGAGAGGGGAGGGTGTGGCTGGGGGCTGCGGGTTGCTGTTGGGGGGCCGAGCTTCAGATGGGCCTGCGAGAGGCTTCTGGGGGCGACTGTTACGTGCATCTTATCCCCAGCAGTGAACCAGCAGTGCAGGAGAGCAAAGCCGAGGCCCGGGCCCAGGAGGAGCCTCCCCAGGGCTCCCTGCAGACCTGCCTCTGGACATCTGACTGTTAATCGCAGGCAGTCTTGGGACGTGGCTTTTCCCCAGCAGACAGGAGCCGCCTGCCCAGGGCCCCTCTGCCTGCTCTCCCCAGGGGCTCTGCTCGGAGGAACAAGCCACAGGAGCAGCTGTCACGGCTCCGAGCCTGGCTATGGTGTCTCACCGAGGGGACCTGGGGTGAGATCTGGG